ATCTCCCTTCTAGTACCCAAGTCTAAATCCCACCTCACCACCTGCTTGTTCTATCACGATCGTTTTGAAATCGGTTTCCTGCTCACTCCTGCCTTCCCCCCATCCACACTTACGTCTTCCCCATTCCACGCTGTAGTAAAGCATGAGGCTCTTCTCTCCCACGATTGAAGTTTCACACTTTCTACCCCTGGCTGGGAGGACCGGAAGTCTCCTTTTATCAAAGCCTTTCTCGCCCCCTAGGAGGGCACAGGACCCGAGCTTGGACGATCAGACTCATTCTCCCAAGACTCACATAACATGGAGCCGTTGACTCCGGCAGCAGTGAATTCTGCGGCATTCTCGAAGCTTACCTGCCCACAGCAGACCACACCTGAGACACTTCCCATCCTATTTAAACCAGATTCTCCGGCTCTTCTCTCGGTTTCTGATCCACGCAACCTCCCATCAATTCCTCTTTTGTATGACCTTTGCCCAGCGTTTAATTTAGTGCCTTTCCCATAAGGAACCTTAACTGATACCTTTCTCCTAAGAAACTTAAGCCCGGTCTACATGGCATCTAGTGGAGGGGGAGAGAAGAAGGTCAGGATTATCCGGTAAATTTGGGGCTATTTTTAAAGATCGTTTGTGGTCAATTGAAACTTGGAAATATCCTGTGAGTAGATGATATCACCAGAAACAGGGGAGGTAGTCATGGTTAAGAACCAAGCTCCGAACCCAGACCATATGGGTTTGAACCTCACTTCCTCCACTTCATGACCTTGGGCTTACAGGTAAAATGGGGAGAGCAAGAACACATTCCCCCCACCCCCCAGGGTCGCCAGGAGCATGAATGACTAGAAATCTGTGAATGTATAGAATTCATAGAGCAGAGCCTGACACTAGTGAGCACTGTAAGCATGTAAAATGTGATTATTAAGACTTCTGAAAAATGATTCTAGTATTTTTGCCATAAGCGTTTTTGCTGTAAACATCTTTGCCGCAAGCATTTTCGCTGCACGGCTGATTGGCCATAAGGCAACTTCACTGTCAAAGAGAAAATTACTGGGTGACAGTTTGGTTGACATTTGGCAGACTTAATGTATTTAAGCTAGTTGTCAGTTTGGTTTCATTTCTCCATTGACGAGGTTCTCTCAGTTACTCCCATTTTTATATTGTATTAATCTTAACCCTCCTTACGGTCTACAGTGATGCGTAGATGTGGTCTTTAAACAGTAGATGATAACGACTGCGTATAAAACTAGATTGCAAAGCAATATGTCAAGCCAGATGGCCTACTATACCAGAAAATGATAACACATCAGTTTGCAAAGCCTTCAGTGAGCAGTCAGCCCTCCCACCCGTCAACACCAAACCCAGCTACGGCGAACATAAAAGCAGCGGCTACAACGTACGACAGTCTTCGAAAGCATGAATTTTCAGTTCTAGTTGGAAGTTGATACCTCTCTTAATGAAGAAAGATGTAGCCAAAAGAAAATTGCCATGCTCTGAAGAAGAAATCGATAAGCAAAAAAGAAAAGTATTTTATGAATGGAAGACGAAGACCATATAGCTTCATTTTTTGTAACCGTCTTTTTAATTTTATTAACTTTTCATGTTTTACTGTGTCCTTTTTAATGTCCCTCTTTTATTTTTTGTTATTTTATTTTCTTAAGGCAATATTGCCTTACGGCCAATTAGTTGTGTGGTGAAAATGTTTGCTGTTAAAATGCTTTCCGCGAAAACACCAGACACACTGAAAAACAGCCTATGTAGGAAGGCAAGTAAGATTTTAAAAATAATGATTCAATATACTTATTTGACATTGGTGTACAAGGAATTATGTAGCATCCAAAATAGGCCTTCTGGGGCTACAAATATTTCCACGATATTTCTATTATTCAAGGGTTTTTTCAGAATTTCTCCTTTAGAACTTTATTGAGAGTTTGCAGTTCAAAGGTTAGATTGCCTTTGTTCCAGTTAGAAAGGGTTTTAGTTGCTGCATACCGAAAAAATAAGAACCTATTAGAGTATGCAGACTACGTGCGACCATTCATGGCTGCCTTCATCCATGCCCAAAAGCTTAGTGCTGCAGGTGACTATGCAGGTGAGGATCTATGACTGACTGCTCCCACAGGCCCCGTAAGTACTTGCCTGACACCGAAGTCTGCAGCCCGAGACCTCAAGTCTCCTCGGGTCTCTGCTAAGGTCTCAGGCGGCTTCTGAGGAAGCCTCAGTCCCAGGAGATACTTGTCTGTCCCTCTTATCTCAGTTCCCCTCGAAGGCCTTGATCAGTCCCCGCTGCTGCTGCCTCTCAGTCCTTCCCCAAGGCTGAGGTGGGTCACTCCCCAAGGCCCTGACCGGAGGGAGAACTTTAGTAGGCTGTCCAAAGGTAGCCAGAGCTTGATGCGCGTGAACTTGAACCATTTCCCAAGGCCTGGATCCAGGGGGCGTTTGAGTCCGCCAGTGTCTTACTAAGTTGAATGCTCTTCACAGTCCCAGATTTGAAGATAGTGCTGCTGTCATTACTCTGAGTGAAATATTTGAGCTCCCAGCTGCCAATAAAAGCAGGAAATCAAAAAAATCCATGGTCTCCCACCCAGGCTCCAGGATACACTGTGCTTTGCATTCGGGCCTCCCTGATGCCAACAAAGGTTTTGTTTCAGGTGTAGAGGTGGTGGATATAATCAAGGTGCAGGCATATCGCAGTGTCTATCTGAATCACAGAGCTATTAGTGGCCGAATAGCAACTGGCCTTGGCCAGCCATGATCTGATCCCAAAGTGCGGCGCAGTTCCAAGCCCTGCAGAGGATACAAGTGCTGTTATCGTCCACCAGCAGGAACTAACCTTTAGGTGGCGGGCGGCAGGCTGGCCAGCGATGTCCCTAGCCAGGCTCTTAGTTGGAAGCTCGTTCGGTTCCCTACAGCCTCAGAGACAGGTTGTCTCCGGTGCCAGGAGGTGTCCTGGATGCCAAGGACCACTCACTGAGTGACAAGAGGTAAAAACTCTCAGCATAAGCCAAGGCCTCACAGAAACAGGGCTACAGTTGGGGCTCTGGAAAGCACGAGGTTCAGGGAGGGAAGTCTCTGAGGGTGCAGGGGACGCAGGCCTTGACATTGAGGCAGACTGGAGAATCCCAGCACGCGACTCTGTGGGCACTTCACGGGCCAAGTCCGGTGGGTTTCCATGGGGACAGGGTGATGTGGATCTCCCCTCACAGCTTCGGCACTGAGCACCTAACCCAAGGCTAGCAGAAGTGCCCGGGGGCTGACGTCCCAAGTTCTGAGCACTGCCAGATGCCAGGATCAACGACCCATCTCTGTGAGTGCTCGCCGAGCGGGCTCATTCTAACAGAATGAGCGGCAGAGTCCCCCCCGGCCGCACGCAGATGTGAAAACAGGATAGGGCTGGGCAGAGGTTACGTCAGGGCAGGAGTAGAGGAATTTAGACGTCGTGGGCCGCAGCCTGCCCTCCTTCCCTTGGAACACAGGGGCCGTGTCTGCGGTTGACCACGTTAGCTCCAGCACAGGGTCGTGCCTTCTGTCTTATAAAAGCCGGGACGATATTTGTGCAAGAATGATTTCAAAAAAAATTTTTAAATCTTCAGTGGGACACTGAAGGGACACAACAGGCAGTGGTACCCAACCTTTTTGGCACCAGGAACCGGTGCTCCCATGAGAATCTGATGCTCCCAGATGTCCTTGACATCCAGGACACCTCCTGGCATCGGTGGTGTGGATCACCAGGTGCTCCCATGAGAATCTGATGCCTGATGGTCTGAGGTGGAGCTGAGGCGGTGATGCTGGTGCTGGGGAGGAGCTGCAAAGACAGATGAAGCCTCTTGCTGTGCGGCCCGGTTGCTAACAGGCTACGGACAGGTACTATCCACAGCCGGGGGTTGGGGGCCCCCGCTATTAGTGACGGACGGACCTTTTACCTTCAGTCCTGTCAGGCTCAATCTACTTCTAAATCTGAACACAGTGACAGTCACAAAACCCTGTCTCCCTTATTTTTCTCCCATAACTGTTTTCCAATCTATTCAAAGAGATAAAATATATCGTTAAAAAGCTAACTCCACAAAACAGAGCCCGATTCAAAGCTTAGTGAGCTCTGTGGCAAAGGGACCTCGCCATGTTCGGAGTAAACAGGAACACGTGGCCCGGCTGGTCTTGCACGTTCCCACGGTCCCCAGCCTCCGACGCCCTCTCCAACGAGACCGGGTCCAAGCTCTTCCCCGTGCCTCCTCGTCCCCAAGTCACGTCTGCCTTGTACCCAAGTCACCAAATCCTCGCAGTCCAGTTGGTTTGGTTGTTTTGGTTTTTTGCTCTCTGCTTTGTGGGTTTGGGTTTTTAAAATAATGCAAAATCAATCAATCAATGAAAGGAATATAGAAATGTAGAAAGTAAAAACTAAAAATTCTCTCAGCCCTTGAGGACTGTTACAGGATTTCTTGATTTCCTTTTTACTGTGATAGTTAAAGTTTTTGTCTTGTCTCTCCCTGCCCTCCAACTTCTGGAAGCTCATGCAACTTAGTCATGGCAAAATTAATGGTTTGAGTTGAGCTGGTAGGTTTTAATGGGTAGAGAGGCTGGGAGAAGCCCTTTGGGGCTAGCACAGCGCCTGGCACCTTAAAGAAAAGTTACATTTGTCAAATGAATGAATGAATGAATGAGTGAAGGGTCCATTTTCTCTAATAGTAAAATGATGAACTGAAGTAAGTTTCAAACTAATAAATGTTATGAATAAAACATTTCCTAAAAGGAGTAAGAGGAGGAGAAAATAAAAATCAGTCTTAGTGATTGTGTCCTCAGCAATGTTGGTAAACTCAAGCTGGTACAAATGAGCAGTTTTTGTTTCCCGGATTTTTATACTTTCTCCTTCCTTAACTACTAAATCTTGTTCACGTGGATGCAGTGTCGAATTCCATGTATTAATGTTTGATTTCAAATTTTAAAAGTATATATTCCGAAAGATGATTAGTCTATATTTTTATTTTTCCCATTGTCCTCGTTTTGTTTTCAAGGGGATACCAGCCTCATAAAATAAACTTAAGAGATTTCCGTCTTCCTCAGTCACTGGAACAGTTTGGATGAGCAGTAAACAGACTTCCTTCAGGATCTGACAGGCTGAGTCTTTAAAACTGTCTGATCGGGTGAGTGAGGAAATGCGTGCATGTGTGTGTGCGTGTGTGTGTGTGTGTACGTGTGTACACATGTGTTTATTGTTGAACACTGATTTCTTTAATGTTGATAGAACTTTTCAGATTTTTTATATCTTCTTGAGTCATTTTTGGCAATCTACATTTTTCTACAAATTCCATGAACTATTTTCAAATTTATTGGATAAGTTGTTCACGGTATTCTCTTGTAATCTCTTCTGTATCTGCAGGTGCGATTGCTTTTCACTTCTAATAGTAATTTTCATTTACCATTGATATAAATGTCATTGCTGGAAGTTCCACTATTTTGTTAGTCTTTTCAAAAAAACCTTTTAATTAATCTTTGTTGACTATAACATTTTTGTTTCCTATTGAATTAACTTTTGTTCTTTAATTCTACCGTCTTCTCTTGCTATGAGTTTATTCTGCTATTCTTTTTCTAACTTGATGAATTAAATAGCTTTATTATATCTTCTTTTGTCTAATAAATGTATTCGTTCCTTAAATGCAAAGTGTTGAAAGCCTTAAATCCCATTATCTTTCATTTGTAGTATTTTTATTCTTATTCAAGTCCAAATATTTTTATTTTTTTATTATAATTTCCTTTTGAGACAGATATTATTAATTTATTGTTATGATTTCAAAAATATTTTTATACTCTGGGGGTTGTTTGTAGTATTTTGGTGGTTTATTGCTTATGGTCAACAGTACATTTGTTTTCAGGTATTTGCTAAGACATTTGAATAATCTCTGGTTTTGAGTAGATGTTCTCTAATTGATGAGATCGGAGTAGCTCTATTAAACCCATTTTATTGTATTGTTCAAATTTTCTAAATCCTAAAAAAATTCTGTCTGCCTTATTTATCAGATCCTTAAAAAGTTCTGTTAAGCTCTCTGACAGTTAATAAGAATATACCCATGTCTCCTTGAAATTCTTTCAATTTGTTTAAATATTTTGAAATGATGCTAAGTGCCACTGAGTTCAGAACCACCCTAGTTTCCTGGAGAATTTGCTTAATTTATTGTTATGTGGTTGCCTTCTTTATCTTTGACACTGATTTTACTGCTGTCGAAAGCTAATATTAATTATTACTATTAGTAATCAGGCTAATATTATTGCTACAACAGCATTTTTTTTTTTTTCGGCTTATATTGAAAAGGTTATTTCAGGAGTCAAGGAAGGTGGTGTGGGCTTAACCCCATCCGAGCAAGCTGCCAGCTGGTGAGCTCGGCATGGCTCTATGTGCGCCAGCCCCACAGGTGAGGGAGGGCAGATGCATGCCCAATGAGCAGTCAGATCTGTCCTTGACCTGCACATCCTGGCGGGGACAGGGAGGCCCCGCAGGCTGGGTGCACGAGACTTTGCTGATAAACACTCCTCCGTTGACTGCAGACCATTCCAGACGCACCAGAGCCGAGGCTCCCACTTCTGATGATGGCCACCTTGCTCCTTCTACTGCACGTCCCAGCTCAGCCTTTTCGAGCTCTCCTGTCCAAAATGGAAGCATATCCTAGTGTCCAAGGACACGCGATGGCCACCAAGACGGCCACCGAGACTTCAGCCTCGTCTCGGCCCTGCTGCGAAGAGGCTCTGAGACCAGGGAAAAGCGCATGGCCCATCTGGGTGCAGGTTTCTTCTATAAAGTGAGAGAGGTACTTTTTTTTTAAGTCTGAGGTCATTTCTAGATGAGGGAAGTGCTGTGAATCTATGACTCTTATTGCAATAGGTGACCTGAAGTGCTAAGTGCTTTGCTGAGAAATTAAACAAACAGCCCCCCAGAACTGGGCACAGGAAGGCGTTGTGAAGGGGAGCGATGGGAGGGGCAGGGATATGAGAAAGTATTTACCAGGCTGGAGCCTGGTGGGGCAGCAACACGCTCTTTAAACAAATGCTCAAACTAATGGCGACTTTCTCTTCCCAGAAAATTCTCCTTCTTTTATGAACTTCCACATCTCCGAAATAATTAAACATGACAATTTTCAAAACAAAGGAAGCTATGCGTAAGGATGAAACATTTAAAAAATACAGCATGCCTTGAATTTTATTTTAGTCCTCCGAAAATCTAACAGAGTAACTTTTTATCTGTTAGAAAAAAAAACAACTAAAGAACATGCATATTACATAACCTATTTTCTAGAAACCTTGCCTATACCAGTGTTTTCACTCTAAAGTGTTATATAATTTAGAAGCATTTAACACCAAAATTCAGTTACAAAACCACATCTGAAATAATTGACACAACCCCTCTGCTATTTCGCTAGGTGGCAGCATGGAATAAGAAAAAATGATATTATAAGGTAACAAATAATGATATTATAAGGTAACAAATAAAACCATTAAAAGCCACAAATGTCAGCCTTGCAGATTCTAAAACATTAGGAAGAACTTTAGTGCTTTTTCAGCTTAACTTTAAAGGACAATACATCTATTAGAGGCATCCTTTTTCTCTGCACATTCACACATTCTGTTTTTCGTAAAAATTCTTGAGACAAAAGTATAATGGCTAAAAGGGTTGGATTCTTTAAGACATCTTTTCCTCATTAACATTTAACTAAAGGAAATGAAAACTCACTTCTAAGCAAAGAGAACTTTCAGCAGATACCAACAGCCAGGTATAATGAAGCCTTCTCAAAATCAGATCTTGCGTTTTCTTTGTAATTAATGATCTAGAAAATGAAATCGAAATTTTATCTCTAGGGAAACCCACCAATGCAACTGAGATATTTAAGGCCACAGGTAGCAAACTGGCATGCTGCAAATTCAGGGCAGGATCAAGTTTTACTTGGCCTGGAGAGAGAAAAGGAGAGAGGCGGGTAAGGGTGGGGAGGGGAGGAGAGGGGAGAGAAGAGAGAGAGAGAGACTGATTTAAGAATCGCCCATTTTCACATTTGAGCTGTTTCATACAAAAACCCAGATTCCCGGCTCCTCCGGAGCGCTCAGATGTGCTGACACTGAGCCTGGATTTTCATTCGCAGAAGAGGCTGGAATCAAGTGGTGACCACTCCTTTTAACCAAGCAAGAGCCTTCCAGTTTTTCTGGTTCGCTTATACTCTTCATTACTATTTCCTAGCTTTTCCATTGTTGTGTAACAAATTATTACAAATTTAGGAGCTTAAAATAACACCCATAGGTTAGCTCACAGGTCTGTGGGTCAGAAGTCTAGACAAGGAATGACTGCATTTTCTTCTGCCCAGTGTCTTACAAAGCTAAAGTCAATGTGGCAGCCAGGCCGGGGCTTGGAGTTCCTCTTCTGAGCCCTGTGGTTGTTGCAGAATTCAGTTCTTCGTCGTTGTAGCTCTGAGCTCCCAGTTTTCCTTACTGGTTCTGAGCCAGGATACTCTCAATTCCTGTTGTCTGCTATGTTTTATGTGTCCTCCATCTTCAAAGCCAGCAGCGGAGAACGTATGTACCAAGTCCCACTCATGCCTCAGATCTCTCTGCAGGAGGAGCCCAGGGCCCTTCAAGAACTTGCCTGATTAGGTCAGGCCCACCCAGTTGCGCTGTGCGACATAACCTAATCGTGGAGCGATGTCCCATCATAGTCACAGTCCCGGGGATTACACAGGCAGGCCAGTCCAACATGAGGTGGAGAACTTAGAATCCTGTCTATTGCACCTGGCTGAGTCAGTTTGTCATTTATTATCAAACCTGCTCTTTTTTTTTTCCCCAAAAATGGAGTTTAAAGGAAATTGAACTATTTCAATGCACACAGTTCCATCAAAATTTGAGGAATGAAAAATGGAAAGGCTCTATAGTTTGAAGGGAAAAAAAAATTCCCACATGTTTCAAAAGAAAATAAAGAGGACTATTTTTAGACTCAGGCCACAGGACTCATTTATGTTACCCGACTGGCCGTTTGGGGAGTTTGGGTTTGTACTCCCTGCTTTAAACCATGTCCTGACATCTATCTCCACTGAAAGCAAACAAAGTGCCCCCTCGAAATGCACCCCACGTGACTCCTGGCTCTCCACCTCCTCTTCTCCCCGTCCTCTGGACTCGGGCAGCTTAGATCTTTGGGGCTCCCCAAGAGGAGAGAGCGTGCTTCCCTCTACCAGAGCTTCTCAGACTATCTGCGGGGAAGAAACTTTCTTCTCCCGGTCTATCGCAGACCGATACTTTCGTAAAATGCGGTAGAAATAAAAAGAGGCCACTGATTACCTTCCTAGACTCCGGAGCAATGTGAAATCGCTACAAAAGTTTCTAAAGTCGATATCGTTAGAGACCGATAACAAGCTGTTTATGGACAGCTACCACCCCGCAGACCACACAAGGCGAGTAAGGACGATCCATCAATCGCTGACTCAGTGCGAATCGTGTGTAGTATCAAGTTACGTATGTGGGTACCATTATAACAGCTACCCTTTCTCGTGGAATAATTATGTGACACTGCCAAGCATTTCTCTAGCATTTCACACACATTCTCTCCTCCTGTCTCCAAAGTCTAATCTAAGAGGTGAACTCTACTATTATTTTATAGGGACGAAAGCCTTGCGAAGATAATGTAAATAACTTGCCCACGCTCACATAGAGAGTCTGGGCCTTCAAATACCATTCATGTGACCAACATTCATGTGGCCACAAGGAGAGATGGAAATCGCATGTGATATGGTGTCAGGGACTGGGACTCAGACCACAAGTCCTTCACCTCCCACATATATGACAGGGATCAAATGATTTAACATCTCTGAGATTCATTATCTTCACTGAAATTGAGCATTATAATATATGGATATCTGGTGGGCACTAATTCCATCGTGGAGACCCCACCTTCATGACATGATCATTCCCAAAGACCTCACCTCCTAATACCATCCTATTGGGAGTTAGGGTTTCAACATATGCATTTTGGACAGACACGAACACGCAGTCCATAACACTAAGGGAAACCAGATTGGCGATTTCCTGAGATTGGTGTAAGGGATATTAAATGCAAAGGAGCATGAGAGGACGTTTTGGGGGATGGATTCAAAACTATGTCTTGATTGTGCTGGTGATCGCATAGGTGCATACATATTTCAAAACTCACCAAATTGTAGATTTCAAAGGGGAGTTCTTTTACGTAAATTTTACCTCAATAAAAAGAAAGCGAGTGAGCCAGCAGTGGGGACAGGGGCACGTGGCAGGGAGGGGATCTAGTAATTGCATCGACATAGCTGTTATCTGCAGCTTGCCTTGAACAACCAATATGTGGGTGATTCTGGTCGCCATACCCCATCTTTCCACACTAGAATATACTAAGGATCAATCCAAATAGTAAAGAACTCTCAGTCTCTCCACCTACACATGCTTCGCACTTGATTGTTCTGCATTTTTGCACATCTGGTTTTCTTTCCATTATCCTCACTTCTGCACCTGTCCAACCATACCAATGTTGCTTTCGTAAATTTACATTTATTATCTAGTTTAAATAAAAATCCTGTCAGCCATAAGCCTAGCATAGCGGACTTTGGATCTAAAAAGTCTAATTGCTATAAAATAGTAAGGGCAGAGGACATCACATATTTATGTCTAAAGAGTTGTATTTTCACCCAATGAGCGAGGACCTGGAGACGGTGGAAAGCATAAAGGCCAACGCACAAGCAGGAAATCTGGTCGTGAGGAAAATCCACGAAATCTATTTATCGAGATACAAAGAAAGAAAAGCTGACAATAGAGGTGTTTTGAGGAGGATGCTACAGATCTGGTGGCCTTTTGTCTCTGCGTGGCAGGAGGGAAAGTAGACGGGGCAGATTGGGGCTTGACAGGAAAGAGAGAAAGTGGACAGCCACTATGAGGGACTGGAAACAGGCTCGCCACGAAAGAGCAGTAGTAAGTCAGCTCAGCACCTGGTTCGGTGCTCTGTCTTTCACAAGCAGGCATATGAGCATTTGGAGATGCAGGAGATGATAGATAGATAGATAGATAGATAGATAGATAGATAGATAGATAGATAGATAGATAGATACATACATACATACATACATACATACACACATACATACATACATATCTTACACACAATATATATCTCTGGGTGGTGAGAACATAGAGGGGTTGCTATCTTTGTGTTATTATACGTCCCTAAGTCGTCTCCTTTCCATTTTAACATCTTAACCTGCAGCTATTCCTCAAATAGCAGTTGTCTTGCTATTTTGAGAGCTTTCTCTTAGAAACAGATAAATAACAACAAGATTAATCATTCTTCACATTAGCTTAATGGTGGTTAATTGTACGTTGTCAATTTGGCTGGGCCACGGTGCCCAGAGAATTGATCAAGCCTTATTCTAGATGTTTCTACAAAGGTGTTTTTTGGATGAGATTAACATTTAAATTGGAAGACTGAGGGTAAAGCAGATTGCTCTCCATAATGAGGGTGGGCCTCATTCGATCAGTTGAAGACCTGAATAGAAAAAGAAGGAATCCTGCCGGCAGACTGTTTTTGGACTTGAATTTCAGTTCTTCTCTTGGTCTCCAATCTGCTGGCCTACCCTGAAGATTTTAGACTCACCAAGCCTCCACGACTGTGTAAGCCAATCCTTAAAATATATCGATAGATAGATGATAGATAGATAGGTAAATGATTGATAGATAGTATAAAGACAGATACAATGATCAAAGAGATAGAGATAGAGATATTCTCCTGGTTTTATTTCTCTGGAGAATCCTGACTAATGCACTATATAAAAAGTGCTTTCACATAAGCTACCCAGCAGGTGGACCATGGAAGTCATTTGTGCTAATTAGCTCATTTGGCCTTTCAAACTTCTTTCACTTGGAACGAGACATAAACATTTGGCATCACTAACTGTAATTTCAAAACTTAACCCACAGAATCCACTGAATTTTCATGATATCTAGTGTATCAGTATGAATCTAAAAAGTTACACAGCAATATGTTATGCCTCAACTCATTTGTAGCACTTTTAAAATATAATTAGAGACCAAGAGCTTATTCATTCCCCAACTGTCCCACTGATCATCAGACAAGTTACAAGTTACTTTGATTCCTATAATGCAGGGCTGCAACACACCAGGTGTGATGACTATTACTAAAGTGGGTTTGAAATTCAGCATTGAATCTCTTGAGAATGATGAGGATTCGTTGGAATAAAGATGACTAATGTATCATCAAGAGCAGTAACAGTTAGGGCTGATGTAATTGGCAACTCACCCACATATTTCCAAAAACAGGCCACCTTTTATACATGCACGAGATCCCACCAGTAAGTACCCTTCCTCCTCACACTGAGCTCCCAGAGTATTCTTTTTATCCAGTTCATTGACAGATCATTGCTTTCAAGCAAACAAACCCTTGTTCATTCATACGTTTAGGATGAAAAATGGGAAAACAAAAAACATTGTACATATTCTCTCCCCTTTCAACTCCAGTTATGCAGAATTTAGTCTTCGGGAGGCGGGCAGGGAAGGGCTGCTTCTGATCATTGACTCAGATACTAAAACAACCAAATTGTTTTGTAATTGTTGGAAAACAGCTGCTATGCTCTGCAGACCCCTTCACCTGTACTCGCCTCTGTGGAAGAATTTGTAGGGACGTTGTTATACATTGTACCTAGCTTTGGGGCTTAAGCCAAAATTCTAAGAAACAGGAAACATCCCATTTCTCATCAGATATACCTTATTTTAATTTTTTTTCTTAGCATCAAATTTATTACATCATTATGACTTCCATGCAGATAAATACTGACCCACAAATCTGAAGTCTAATGCGATTTAGGAAGAATGATGGTATATAATAGTGCCTCTCCTTCTATATGCTTATGATATGGAGTTACGAATCTGAATAAACATTATAAAGATCTGTACTATAGAGTTTGTAGAAAAAGTCATGTGGGTGATGTGGAGATTAAGGGAGGGTGATTATTAACTGCTCCTTCTCTTCAGAGTTCAGAACTAATTTAAAAATAGAGTCAGATGCAGGGAGGACAAAACATCAGTCTTATAATCCAGAAAGGCTGGACTGAAGAATGTAGCTTGTTCTGTGGCAAATGCAGGCGTCCCACGACTTCCCCCCACTACCGACTCAGCAAGGCAGAATAAATCCACGTCCGGAACCCTACCATAGAGAGGCAGGAGCCAGGAATGCATGCCTGTTGTTGGCAGGGCGATCCCAGAGAGAGAGAACAACATGGCCTATTTTGAAGGACGAGACAATCAGAGAAGCTTGGACAAATGGAAATGAGACGTTCTCCGCCTCCCGAATCAGAATGGTGGAAGAGAAGAGAGATGCTAAACGTGTTCCTTGCATCTTTTTCTTCCCTTCCCCCTTTAAGGAGAGGTACAATGGGGGTTAAGAATTCCCCCTCAATAGCAAGAAGTAAATGCTGTAAACATGCAGAGAGAAGAGAAAGATCATTAAGAAGCATAAAGGCCTAAGGAGGACAGCATCGTGGCGTTCATTCGTTTTGAGGCTGCAACAGGTGGACTTTTCGGGGGAAGGTGTACGCAAGCTTTGCTGTCAGAGGCAGAGCGGGAGTGAAGGCGAGGGGGAAAGGCAGTCGTGCTCAGGGAAAAGTGAGTGGTCCCGGTTTAACACCAAGAGCTTTCCGGGGGAATGAAGGGAGACAGTGAAAAGGCGGTCTGGGGCCAGGTTGGGGAGGTCCCTTCCTTCCCAGCC